TCATATTCTGCCTTCTGAGAACCCAAACTACTCATTCCCAAGCCAGAGCATGGGCTCTTTCATGAAACTGATTCACAAGTACATCATCAGAAGAAGAATAAAGCTGAACAAAGGGCAGCCATTTTCCTGAAAAGGTCAGCAGCAGAAATCTTTGGGTTTTAGGGAGTGCAATGTTCTCCAAAGTCTGCAGCCATATACTGAAGAGGATTTGTTCCTGACAGCAGGTTTGGGGCTGGAAACAGCATGCTTGCTCGCCTGTGTGGGTCTGCGCATGGTTCCTGGAAGCTTAGCATTGTGGTTGGTTCTCTAGCCCTCCCAACAATTCTGTCAGTTCTCCAATAAATATTTATTTTATTAAGATACAGATTATACATAGTAAAATGTACCTATCTTAAGTGTATAGTTTAATTAGTCTTGACAATTATGTGCACTTATGTTACTTCCAACCAAATATAGAGAACATTTCCACCCCTCCAGAAAGTTCTGTCTACTTTTAAGGGCTATATACTGAGTGTTTGTGTCCCCTGTAAAAAACATATGTTGAAATCCTCATCCTTAATGTGATGATATGAGGAGGGAGGGCCTGTAGTAGATTATTCAGGCATGAATGTGGAGCCATGAGAGATCCCTGTGGGTGCCCTTCTGCAGTGAAAGGGCTCAACAGGAGACCTGCCAACCAGGAACTGGGTTCTCACCACATGTTCAACCTGCCAGTCTCTTGATCTTGGACTTGCCAGCTCCCAGAACTGTGGGAAATTTCCATTGTTCATGAGCCACACCATCCTTGGTATTTTGTTACCGAAGCCCAAATGGACTAAGACACCAGTCAACCCCTTCAAACCACAATTCTGGTTTCATCACTATAGATGAGTTTCACCTTGTTGAATAAGTAAGTTTATTTATGTCTCTTACCAAATTTGCAAAGTTTTCAAGCCATTATTTTGTGAAGCACTTTTTCAGTCCTGTTCTCTCTCTCTCTCTCTCTGATCATTCTAGGACTCTAAAGACATGAATATTAGATCCTTTGTATTTTGTTGTCCTGAAGGGGTCTGTTCTTTTTTTTTCCTCTCTGTTCTGCTGCTGAGCCCATCTACTGAGCATTTTACTTTGGTTATTGTATTGCTCAGTTCTAAAAGTTCAATTTGATTCTTCCTTATATCTTTTACTTCTTTGCTGAGGCTTTCTATTTTTTTCATTTGTTTTAAGCCTCTTCAAAATTATTTGTAAACCTATTTTCATCATAGATGCTCTAAAATCTTTTAAAGATAATTTTAATATCTCTCTCACTGTTGGCATCTATTTTTTTTTTTTTTTTTTTTTTGCTATTTAGTTTGGGATCTTAATGGCTCTTCATTTGATGAATAATTTGTATTTGAAACCTGGGCATTTTCTTATTATGCTATGAGACTCTGGATCCTATTTTATCTTTGTCAGTTGGCTTTTTCTGACACTCCTCCAGCAGGGGATTGGGGGTACTGCCTGGTTACTGTCACATGGAGGTAGAAGACCAGGTTCCCCATTCCATCTCTGTGGACACCAGAGGGGGGTTTTCTTCACTACTGAAGGGCAAGAGTGGGAGTTCCAGCTCCCATGTGGTCTCCACACCCCAGGGGAATGGCCTGGGCCCACGGGGCAGTAGTGGAAGTCCTGATGCTCCTCTAAACCTACTCAGATACCACCCCAGTGGGGAAGGAGAGGGAAAGGTTCAAGCTTCCTGAGTGATCTGCATTAACACTGTGGAGGGAGGGTTAGGGCTCTTCCTGCCCTTTGGGACAAATTTCTGATTCCCTCCTTGTCCTCTGATAGTCCCCTGGAGGAGTCAACCTTTGTGAGACTAGAAATCTAGGCTCCCTGAGTGGTCTGTGCTAGGATGAGGTCTCAGGGTTTTTGGGCTGTTGGGCCAGAGTGGTTATTGTCAATATTTGCTGACTTGTTAGACTTTTGTTAGGGTTTTTTGGTCTGCAGCATTGGCATTTTTAGATTTCTGGCTTCTTCAGCAGCCATGTCTGAGTTACATGATGCAAAAATAAAACTACAGAAATCACCACTGGTCATCTTACGTTGTTTTATATATAATGTTCAGGGTTTTTAGTTATACTTCATGGAAAGAATCTACTCCATCTTTTGGAAGCAGAAGTCTCTATTTTTCTTTCACGAAGCATCTATTCAAGCTCTTTGCCCATTTATAATTGGGTGCTGGGTCTTTTTGTTATTGCTTTGTAGAGGCCATTTAGGTATTCCTTTGTCAGTTATGTGCTTTGCAAACATATTCTCCCAATCTGTGGCTTGCCCTTTCGCTTCTTAAACTGAGTTTTATGAACAGGAGTTTTAAATTTTGATGAAGTCCATTTCTAGCTATCTTTTGAAATAAATTCCTTTACTGCTAAATGAGCCAAGGTAATCTGTTGCTTGCAGCTAAGAATGATGGCTGATAGAAGCCTTGAAAGAATCACTTTGATACTTATACATACATTGATTTTCACTTACTTGATACTTAATACATCAATGACTTTAATGTGCAAAAAACATTTTTACAATCCACTTATGGAATTGTCTCCACAAAAAAATTGTGACATTACTAGAAATAAGGCTCATTACTTTAGAGTTTTGCCTAATTTGCTACCTCAAACACCCTTTTAGAACTTAATTATCTGTTGGATCTGACTCTATGAACTCTGGGCTTTTGCACAAGTAAAATTCACTCTCAAGGTATGATAAATTGACACAACAAATATCATGTAAACAAATGTGCTATGAGTTCTGATGGTTTGCATTTAGCTAGTTTTCCTACCTATCCACCAGTCAGTTTTGACTGAACATGCTTAGTTACAGACTCCCCCATTAGCACGTACTCCATTTGAGTTCACTTGAAATTTAGTCTTTTCAGGCAGGAGTACTGTGGGGCTCTGAGGAGCTGAGAGGACATCCTTTTTAGCCCTATGCTGAGAGAGCCACAATCTTTCCAGCCCAGAGGGGGTACTCATGATGGATCGAAGCAGTGAGGAAATGCTAGGAAAATGAGACATCTCCTTAGCTCTTCCAGACTGCAAGAAATGAAAATGTACCTAACACGTTTATATCCTAATATATCAATACCCATTCCTGATAAAACAAATGATTTGGAGATAGTTGTGATTTGGACTGACTATAGCTCTGCCTCCTGTTTTTATGGCTGTCTGAAGACTCCTGCAAGCCCTAAAGTCTTATTGAAGGGAGTGGCTTTTCTGTTTATCTTTAATGGAGAGAATTGTGGTGACACTGATAGAGCTGCTCCTCAGCTCAGTGGTGATTTCTCCAGTGATCAGGTGTTACATGTTGTCCATGTAAGATAACAAGGTGACAGTCAGTCCAAATGGGATCGAACTAACCAGTGGTTATTGAAACATGAGAAGTGCCATAGATAGTGTACCAAGGAGAATGGAAGAACTTCACAACCACATCTGTGATCTTGATCCTTTTTTGACATAACGTATAGGTATTAAAAATAAACATGCCACAGCCCCTAAGGAATTGTATAATATTTTGAAAAGAACAAAATATACAACAGGCAGATAATAAGGTTAGTCACATTAAACTCCTTAGGCATATAGAGTCCAAGTTTTACTTACCACTTGGTCATCATTTATTCACTAATATAAATTTGCTGTGTAACTTGAGGGTGATTGTTGGAGTAAATACTTATGAAATAGGTTATGAGTTTATAACTGCTAACCTTATTGTAATAAAAAGTTTTTTAAATAATAAAAAACACTTAGGTTAAAATTAAACCATAAAAGAAAGTATGCTTACACAAATTAAGAAAAATTACAACTGAACAATATATATATTTCTGAGTGTTTAGTAAAACATAAATTTCTATCTCTGCTTTTAATACTTCAAATCCCCTCCACAAACTGCCAGAATTGGGAAGAACTGATCTTTCTGAGTATATATCCTATGTTTCATAACTTATGGCATTTTGTGGGCTCCAGAAGTAATACTTGTTTCTGCCAAAAATTCACCAACTCTTAAATACAGAACTCAGGTTCATCAAAAAACATTTCTGCAAATATTGTTGATAGCTGTTTCCACAGAATAACATTGAGTAGAATATTAAGTTCCTTTATACCTATAAAGGTAATGCTTTTGCATGGTAGAAGTTAACTTTATTAGTTCATGGAGATTGGCCTACCTAGTGTAGTTATACTGTATATTTGATGACCTGTAATATGTATCTGTCATATGTATAAAACATACTATGCATTTGTGACAATAAAACATAGACCAATAAGATGATATTTTATTATTTAAATGATTTTATAATATAAACACCAATGCTAATAAAAATATATAATAGGTGGAACGCATCAATGGCAAAGTCAGTTGTAATTCACTTGAAGGTTCCCACATTTCAAAGTATAAGCCTTTCATAGATAAATGAAAATCCTTTATTTTGTAGAATCTTAACCTTTTCCTGTCAGAGGCTGAGCAAGGCAAAGGTATCTCTATTAGCAGAGCAAGCAAAGCAGAGATGAAAAAGAAAGGTCACCATACACCTTGCTTACACTGAGCACCTGGACTGATGATTCTGTGTTTCCGCATCCTTCATGATTTAGCAATCAAAACAGAAGCATAATCCCAGTCTAGACAGGTGTGAAAGACCAGGTTCCATCTAAAGTTGTTTTCCCTTTTCATACTATTTGCAATTTAAAGGAAATAATTCTTTCTGTCTACTAAGGTTTTAAAATATTGAGATGGTGGGTTCTTTTTGTAGTGAATTTGAAGGGCTGCTGCTTCACTCTACTTCTAGGCCATGAGAAGAAACAAAGTTTAAGGTTAGTGATCAGTACAGGGCTGGTAACATGGTGACTCTTTAAAAGCAAAGACATTCAAAAAGGATTTTTTTATGGGAGTATTTTAACAAATAGGGGCTTGCTTTGCATATACATGCCATAGTTAAGACAAAATTTGGACTGTTATATTCAGAAAATAGGTATTTCATTAATTAGCCTTTCTAGAGAGAGAGAGAGAGAGAGAGAGGTTATTTTTTAGCCTAGTAAGACTCTAATCTCCCAAGAACTTTCTAATTAGGTAAAATACTGGTAAGTCTTCTTACCAGAAATTGTAGGAAAAGTATACCTTGCACAATCATGAGAAACTGAACTAGATTATCTAATGAGACATCTGTTTAAACAGATGTTTTAGTTAAGAGAAGTGTAAACATGATTCTGAATTTACAAATATGTTGGTTATCCTACCTCATTTGGGAGATTGAGCCAAGTTTATGAAGATTAGAGGAAGTCTGAGTCTGGAAAAGATGAAAGTATTACATAAATGCAGAGAAAGTAATAACAGTCAAGTCAGCTGGCAATTATTTTAATCATTATTTACAGGGCCTTCCATTGCTTTACCTCACTGCTCACATACAAGTGACCTGAGTTACTCCATCTTCCTGATCAAACTGTCCATCGTCTAATTCCCGTAGGACGCTGTCACTGCTGCTGAGCCCAGAGAAGCTGCTGTACTGTGCTGGCCTCCGCTCCTTCATCCAGCATTCTCTGGAAGGAGAGAGCAGGCACTCCTCCGGGGAGTGCCTGGTCTCCGTAGGTTGTGACGTGGCCGTGTCCAGTCCAACACTCCTACTGGTGACTTTGTTCCTGTCTTCACCTTTTATATGCTGGCTGGCTTTCCTCTGAAACACAAGAGGTTGGAAGCCAGGAGTTAAAAAGATGGGTGCTTTCCTGTCCCTCTGATCTAGCACCTACTGTTCTCTAAGTGAAATGTTCTTTCCTTATTTCTCTTCAAAAGCATCTCATGAGCTCATCTTCAAAGATCAGCTTTGAGCCACCATTCATATTCCCTCTGCCCCCCTGTTAAAAATGAGCTCCCCTCTCTCTATTCCACAATGCTTTATAGCTTCCTGGCACATCATTCTCCTCATAGGCAGGAGGGTTGTATACACCTGTGGGTCCCCAGTGACACCTCTGAGTGGAGAAACCTGCTGAGATCATACTACGGGGAACAAAGTAGGACAGAAATGCACTCAAGGTTCCATTCTCTTCCTGGTGTTGGGATCTCACCAGCAGGAGTGCCTGGGTGGCTACCTCATACCCATTTCACACAGGAACCGGCTGCACAGAAGACACAGATAATTCAGAGTTTGCATTGAAAGAATGCCTGGACCAGCTTCCTGAGTCACTTGGCCCCCGTGCCTCATCCAGCTGCACACCAGTCCTCCGGACCCTGGGCATGCTCAGCAATGGACCAGCTCATGCTGCGGACTGGCTGAGAAGCTGTGGATGTTTTTGCTATGAAATATTTGCTGAGGCCTGACATTGTCCTTGGTGTAGTTCACAATAAAGAGGACCTGGTCTCTGCTAAGGAAGCTTAAGTCAAAATAAGATACCTGTCAATAAAAGGAAAGCTCAAGGAAATAATTGCAGTATCTCACCATGTTCAGACTCCTGAGGAGAATTCCTTACAGGGGCTTCTCTATCATGAATAACATAATATTTATTAGAGTATGATTGTATACAAAAGACTGGACAAAGATAAATAAAAAAGGATTAAGATTAAATAAAGATTTCAAAAATAGTAAAAGCACAGTAATTTCCCAGTTTACAAGGAGTTTATTCACTGCAATTTTGTTTTTTATGTTAGGTGGGAACTAGGATTACATTTTCCTAGATGTAAGGGCTAAAATTATAACATTCTTAAGAAAAAAACCATAGAAGTCAGATGTCCAAGCTAGTCTTACAAGTTTGTTAACCCATAGGTTTGTTGAACTGTAGTGTATAAGATACAAAAGCATTTGCAAATACTTTTCACGGCAAGTATACAAACAAGCAGCTTTATTAATTGGATTTTGTGGACTCCTGTGGCATATAACCTTACTTGTGACACAGTGTAGGAAGATGCAGCCCTCAGCATGTTGCACCAAAGAAAGGATTGTGTTGGCAGCTTATCTTTTTTTTGACCAAGTTACTGGAGTCCTCGAGCAAGTTTAAGGGAAAATGGCTACAGTGGTTCCTGCCTCAACTGAGGCCCACCTCATGCTCCTGTGTCAGACATAGGTTGGTGGTAGCAACATTTTCCATAGGTTCCTTTGGATTCATCAAATGCAAATATCAGATCTCAAATCTATTTCCTTTCCATTCTCATTCACCAAATGCATGGAATTTAATACAGCAGTGTAACCTGACAGATATACTCTTAGCCTTGGGTCAGAATTTGAGAATGGCATGTTCTCTCTGGCTTTGCAAAACTGGTCAGCAAGGATTCAGCCTTTTGGCTGCAGGCAGGGCTGATGGAAAGGAGCCCAGGCCTGGGTACTGGCTCTCTTTCCCACAAGCATAGCGAATGCATTCACTCTCAACATTGACTGAATGAAAATGGGTAGGCGGGGGCTCCTGGGAACACTTGTCCACCTGGCTCTTTCTTTCTTCACCAGCACCAGGGCCAAGGGTAAATTTTGCAATAAATTCCTTATTGTATACCAGCCAATAAAGGCCATTTTCTCAATAAAAACTGGGTGTTATTCAGAATAAGATATTCATAGTAATTCACTTTTAGATAAGTTTAATAATCAAATAGCCACCCATCAAATGTACATTTCAAATATTAGAAGATGACAAAATACCTAACATGGTAATTCTAAAAAAGATTTCAGAACAAATGCTTTTCTTAAACCATGTGACTCTTAATAAATACATCTTCAGTAATGATGTTGCCTTTCCCATTCCACCTTCATACCATGTAAAACAATAGCTTTTCCAACAAATCAAACTGTAACATTCTTATAAGTTAGAGTATAGGAGTCTAAAACCCAACCAGTCCTTGGATTGCATCTACTTTAACATCACATTCTACAGAGGTAGCACCCAGGCCCAGAAAGAAAATGGGATTTGTCTAAGGTAAAGGAATAACTGGCCTCAAACCAGAGCCCAAATTCTTGCCTTATTCTTTCCATGCTATATTACCCACATCTACAAAAATATTAGTAGATTTATGGTTGAAGATTTATGTATTTCCCAAATAAAATTTCCCTTCAATTATAAAAATAACACACATTCAATGTAGAAAATCTAGCAAAACACAAAGATAAAAGAAAACCCACCCACAATTCTATGTCAGAGATACCACTGTTAAAAACTGGTGTATTTACTGTTTTTCTTCTTTAAGTATATATGTACTTGTATATGCACACAGATGTGTATAGCTCACTTTTCCATTTAGCACTATATTTTCAATATTTCTCCATGCCAATAAAGATTTTTTATGCTACATTTCCAGTCTTATTCATATATCTTCTCACTTTCTTCTGATATTTTCACCATAAAATTGGGGGAAATTATACCAAGATTTGGATGCAAATCTAATGCCACCTTGATAATAAAATCTATTAACTTTGTGGTGAGGTTGTGGAAAAAGGGGAACCCTTCTACACTGCTGGTGGGAATGTAAATTAGTTCAACCATTGTGGAAAGCAGTATGGAGGTTCCTCAAAATGCTCAAAATAGAAATACCATTTGACTCAGAAATTCCACTTCCAGGAATTTACCCTAAGAATGCAGCAGCCCAGTTTGAAAAAGACAGATGCACCCCTATGTTAATCGCTGCACTATTTACAATAGCCAAGAATTGAAAGCAACCTAAGTGTCCATCAGTGGATGAATGGATAAAGAAGATGTGGTACATATACACAATGGAATATTATTCAGCCATAAGAAGAAAACAAATCCTACCATTTGCAACAACATGGATGAAGCTAGAGGGTATTATCCTCAGTGAAATAAGCCAGGCAGAGAAAGACAAGTACCAATGATTTCACTCATCTGTGGAGTATAAGAACAAAGAAAAACTGAAGGAACAAAACAGCAGCAGACTCACAGAACCCAAGAATGGACTAACAGTTAGCAAAGGGAAAGGGACTGGGGAGGATGGGTGGGAAGGGAGGGATAAGGGTGGGGAAGAAGAAAGGGGGCCTTACGATTAGCAAGTATAATGTATGTGGTGGGCACAGGGAGGGCTGTGCAATACAGAGAAGACAAGTAGTGATTCTACAGCATCTTACGCTGATGGACAGTGATTGTAATGGGGTTTGTGGGGGGTCTTGGTGAAGGGGGGAGCCTAGTAAACATAATGTTCTTCATGTAATTATAGATTAATGATACCAAAAAAAAGTGAAAAAATAATCTGTTAACTTTGAGAATCATTCTCATTTAATAAAAATGGGCGACCCACTTCAAATACATGAGATTTCATGACAGATCAGTTGAATTTAGGGCATTCTACCATGCTGTCTTGCATTTTTCACTGTCAATTTCTTAAAAACAAAAACAAAGAATTATATTAGCTATTATAAGATATTGCATTTTCTTGGACAGTGTCATGATGGCAAGAGTAGAAAAGAAGCTAACCATGTGGTTTATAAAACAATAAAAATATGGATTCTCTTGAATAAAAACATTCAAAATGTCTTTTCCTTGTGAGTCTTAGGCTCTGGGCAGGATCAGGAAGCCGCTGGAAGTCTGAGTGTAGCTCTAACACTACTTGCAAGAGAGGTTTTGAAACATGCAGAGAGAAAACATGTCTGCCTGCTCACAGAAGCTGTTTCTGGGTCTCCCCGGCTTGGGGCTGTCAGAATCATTCAAGCCTGGGAGTGAAAAGGATGTAGTGGACATCACCTGCCCAGCCAGCTGTCCTAGCCACTTTCTACTCTGCTGCAGGGTGGCACCTGACCCTATCAGATTAGGAGTCCTTCCCTGGGTTTCCTCTGCCAACTCCAGGACTAAGGACCTTTTTGACAAGGTGGTCATGCGCATCTCATAAGAGACTGTTCACACAAACACATGTAGCAGCTGAAACACAGAGCTGAGAGAACATCCTGGCAATGCTGAGTCTCTGGTGTCAACACTGGAGGCCTTCGTTCTTGCAGTTCTTTCTTTAATGTTTTGAGCAACGCCAGTATTCCTCCTACTTAGCACATAAGCTATTCTGAGCAAGGTTTCTGCTCTTTATTACCCCAAGGGACAACAGTGGGTAATATGGAAACAAGTGTGGGTGGCCCAAACCCGCCAGCCCTGACTGTGGCCATAGGGGACCAGTGACCACCTTTCCTCTTCTGCTCACAGCAGGAAAAAGCATTCCCTAGGTAACTAACTTCATTAATGATAACAAAAAAAGCCTTTCATCTTCATTTTTACCCGATGGTTTTTGAGATGCCTGACATTTTCTATTTACACCAGCACCTGCTTTGATTTCACATGCACTTCAGTTGAGGATGCTTCCTGATAATGAATGAAATATGACGCTTATGATTTTCAAATAATTTCAAATGAACTTCAAGTGACTGACTTAAAAAGTAAAAACAAAGACTGATAATCACTGTCTTACTGTAAGGTAAAGAAAAGTTAATGCATATATTAAGTATTTCTCACTGTTCACATAGTTTTGTTAGTTACCTTAGAAAAGATCTAATGTAGAACATTTTTCTGGCTGCTGCTCCTTCACTTTTTAGTTTGTGTTAGAGAAATGATTTAATACCTGTGCCTAAGAATTCTTTACCTCTTGAAATCATTCATTTTGAGATACATTTTAAAGACAGTTATTTAAATGCAAAACTGCTCTAAAGAAGAAAAATAAATGTAAAATTGGAACATTAAAATTAAAATGCTGTCTCCCAAGGTCTAT